TAACTTCCTCTCTCAACCGGACAGTCCCATAAATCTGAACTCCAAAGGGCAAGTACTGAATCTGAAACACCCTAGTATGTTGATTTCGCGCTCATGAAATGGGTTTTGGTGCAGATGCAGGGCAACTGTGAGCGCAACGTCGTCCCGCACGCCTTTCCCTCGGGGGAATACTGAGCCGTTCCCTCGATTGGAATTCATCAGCATCCCGTAGAGCCGTTATTTACTACAAATTGCCGCTATCTGACAAGCTATCTAGGCACCATGGCAACGAGTGGCTCGGCTGACTGCACAAGCGCTGCGCTGCACAATCTGATGGGCTAACTGCCGGGACAGTGGTGGTAATGGGGAAAAGCGCCGTGCACAGCTACCGTAATCGATGACCGTAGGAATGTGTTGCTCGTCGTGTTCGTTAGTCTCATTACGAGCCGCAGATTCGATGAGGCACGTTCACGCTCGTCTATCAGACGCCTATTAGTGACAGGTGTGGCTTTTTCCCGGCCAAAAAACGCAAAATTGAGACTCGAGGGCTCTTGTTGCTCTTTGATTCTTTGAAACAGATAGGCTTCGGATGAGAGGAAAGAGCAGGAAGGAAAAGAGAAATTAAGGAAGCTCTTGGGCCTGTTATAAAGGCAAGTCACGCCATGGCGATCAGAAAAATTGGTCATTCACCACGACCATCCCCCCAACCCCTCTCAAGTAGTAACCCTCTTCAACCCAAATCACTCTAGTTTCTAATAGTATCATAACTCCCTGCCGACTTTTACCTGCGAGGAAAACTCGTCAACCCGTGGGAGGAGGCGGAGGTTCATATTCCCAAACAAAACCACCCTGCACCTCATCGCAGACTCCTCTCTGCAATTCAACAGGTCAACAGACCGCATACGACCCCCCTCTCCGGTTCGGAACGGCGTGCCACAGCCTTTTGTAAGAGTAGCTGCTCTACCTTAGGCCCCAGGAGGTCATTTTAGGTCATTAGGCTGCTTAGATATGCCATCTGTCTACTCAAGGTGTTTGGCTCCTAGACCAAATAGCAGATGGTAGAGAAAACTCGTGCGGTCTCCCCAGCTGGGTAAGTTCTACCGCGGAATACCTAGTGTCCCCTTCGTGTGGGTAAACGGTTTACCAGGCCTCAGTAAGCCGTGATGAGGCTGTGCAAAGAGGAAGAAAGGGGGCAATAGCCTGGTGTTCCCTAACAAGAAATCCTTCAAGTATTTCCAAGGGTTCAAAGAAAGCCACCTCGGCTGCATGACTTACCCCGGGCAAAGTCTTCTGATCGTGAAGAGCTGCTTGACATTTCACTGCGCTGTCACGATGACAATACGTTAGAAAAGCGCAACCCTTGTGCATACCTGAAATTTGAGAAATTTCATGCTTTACCCGAACTAGGTAAATTACCTAACGTACCAGTATATTTGTCCTTAAGGATGGTGAACTCGTAGATTTTACCGAATTGCTCGAATAAATGGCGTAGATCTTTTTCTTCCAGGTTACGTGGAATCTGAAACATTTATTTGCTTGCTTGCATTTTTTCGTTGGCGTTGAGAGCCCCGAAGGCTTCCTGCAATCTCGGCTCGTCCCGCTTGATTAAGGTCGTAATTGTTCATGCGTCGTTGAGTTCGTTGTTGGTTGGGTGAGTGCCCCTCAGAAGGAAGCCGTCGGTATCGATCTGGCTGCCGCTGACGACGCGACTATTTTGCCCCACGGCATGAGAGTGAGTATCAGCGCTTCAAGATATAGCGGAGCTTTATTGGGAGTGGTTATAAGGGTCAAGGTGGAAGCTGGACCACTTTGGAGGGCTAAATAGAGAGCCCGGGAGTCCCAGCTTGGTCGGTCGAGGAAGCACATGAAAAGCCAAAAATGAGTGGAGAAAGCTCACCTGCCCGACGAAAAGCTTGAGCGCATCGGCATCCTTCACCGGGAAACCGTTCGAATCGGTCGATGTCGTAGAGCTGGCACGCATGATCGTATAAGCCGCACCACAGTCAGATTTCAGTTCGGAATTTGTGCAGAAGAAGCCGAATACAGGGGGGTTTTACAAGAGCACAGGGATTAAGCGCGGTGGTGTGTGTGGATGTGTGGGGTCGGAAGACGACGACGATGACGACGACGACGACGGTGGGGAACACAAGACGACACGGCACGACACGACGACCACGACCACGACGACACGGCTAGCCTAATACCATTAGCCGCACGCTCTCATTAATTCCCGGCTTCGAGGAGCGCCATCGTGGCCACGCCCCTGTCGTGCAGTGATTGGTTGGCTCCGCGATGGCCACGCCTACTCGATCTCAATGATTGGTGTCGGCTGGGAGCAGCTGTGCCAAGCCGCCTAATGGACTGACCCTTGAGCACCATGCATGGGTGGATTAGTGCGTGAAATCGAAGAGCCCCCCTAGCGCACAGTAATGGAACGGTGAACAGCTGCACAGCGCCCTCTTCAGACTATGGGGCCGAAAGAAGACAAGATGAAGAAAAAAATAAATCAATTATCCGGCGCAGTTCGGCGAGGGGGGGGGCATTTGCACTCCGATCCATCTAGAGAGCTTTCATGAGCAAGACAAGAGTTGACGGGTTTTACCATGGTGGCTAGACGAGCTTGCTCCAGCTTCACAAGTGTTCACAGGTTTCACCAGAGCGGAACTTGTGAACCGGAACTAGTAAAGCAGTGAAGGTACAAAGCCCCCCCTCGCCCGAACAGGCGCCAATTATCCTACCCTGAGGAAAAGAGCGGGGACCACTGGAACTTTTCAAGTTTGTTTACTTTGTTTTTGCTTTTGCCTTACAACAATCATGTCCCATCCTGCAAGTACTGCAAACTCCTGCCAAGCCTGGTGAAGCGGTACTAGCACCAATGGAATGGCGTTTCTCTATTTTTTCCAAATTTTTACCAGCCATTTTTGCAAGTTTACAGGTGTCTACAGGGTGTTGACAAGGTGGTCCGGTATTCACATGTGCACAGCTCAGAGAATTTGGTATACTGAATAGCTTTACAGGTGTGCTCCCCCCCACCCCCACGGAACGTATCAGCGCCTGCTTATCTTTTGGGATATTCCCAATGGATCCCTCTCACCACGCATTTCAGAGGTGAGGCGATAGAAAAAGTCGTTCTCGGCGAAGGTTTTGCTGGAAACAAGTTGGCCTGAGGACTTTCTTATATATAGGACGTCCGTACTTCATTGACGCGAAGAGTTCTTTCAAACACCTCTACAATCGTGAAGGTATCTCACCTACACGGCGCATTCTAAAGGGTCCACCGTGAAGAACTGTCAACGCAACGTGTTATTGAACTGTTCGTGGATGAAAAGCAGGGGTCACGATGAACGCCTTCTTTTCCCCTGAAGAAAAAACGGCGAAAAAAGGTGGAATCGCGGTAACTAACTCAGAAATTCGGAGATACGCTCGCTTCAACAGGAGAAGGAAGATTCTCGGAATGTCAGGGTTTGATAAGGGGCAGGGGTGGAATTGAGATTAGCCAGTTCATCGCAGCCTAGGATAGGACCCTGTGTAGATGAAACGAAATTGTCTACAATTTACTGGTAAAGTTGCACCTTGCTCGGAACGAGAGGACGCTTGCTCATCGAGATTGCAAATTAGGTTTTTCGAGCCATTTCGTGCAGGCATCATGGATATGGAATCTACAGTGGGGGATCAGTGGCCCGTTTTCTGGTTGGTTAGTCGGAGGCATCATTCCTACCTTCTTCACCTCCGGCTTCGAGGGGCTTGGAGTCGCAAAGCAAGAAGATAAAGAAGCGAGGGGAGTGCAGCTCGAAAATTTCTCCATTTTCCAATGATTTTCTCTGATTTCAGGTTCCAGGCGTTTGAGGAGAACGATTTTTTTCACTTGGCAAGTCTTCGGAAAGTCGGACTGGAAAGCTCCGACCGCATAATATCCTCTGTGGACCTAAAAAAGTACGCTCATATCTAATAGGTTCAGGTCCGAAGAAGACCGGATTTAGTGCAGCGTGAATCTGCTATTCTTCAAACTGAGTCGAAAACAAGGCAAAACTGTACAGTGACTTCGAAGACAGGACATGCTTGGAGTTGCTTACCCCCTTTTGGAATGCCGTACGCATCCAACTTCCGCTGAAATATGATACGAGTGGCGCGGGTTATCCGATTTTCGGGCGCAGTTTTGCTTGGTGGGACCATTTTCCCTGATTCTTTTAACTATTACAAGTGGTTCCTGTGGGTACCTGCAAACACTTGCAAAGCTGTCAATAGCCACGTATGCACAGATTATTGTCTTACACCGAGCTTTCTCACAGATTCACCAAGGCTAAAGTCTTGCGCGGAATGACAATCAACCAGCAGAGAATCAGAGGGCTGCAACACATGACGCCTCCCTCTTGCGGCTAACGAGGGCGATATTCGGGACCGATCGGTTGCCACCCACATAGTGATTGTGCCTTCAATATTACATAACTGACGTGCAGATGGATGGCAGCCTAGTCCTGGCGCTGGACAGAACTGTGATAGCACGTAACTCAATTTGAGGACATGCAGCGAACGCTAAGGCACTGAATGCATGGCCCTCCATAAACGGGTAAGCAAGGGTAATAATGAAAAAGATAAGGAAAACGACAACGCCTTTTTGTGACATAAACTTCTCATTTTTAACTTTAAATTGGAATTGTCCGAAAGAGAGTCCTTACACAGAGGTGCGCCAACATTGAACCGCTTAAGGCCTTTCACACGTAATCTTGGCGTTGCGTGTAAGAATACCTTGGCAGGAAATTCAGGCGTGTGTGATCTCGACATGAGAGGTTCACAAAGTAATTGTAGTTCAATTCTCGCCGTATTCTCTAAGTCGTGCAACCAAGAACATCAAACTCTATGAATTTATCTTTCATTGTTCTATTTGCGACCTATATTTATCTCCACCTTATGTTCTTTTATCTGGTTACCTCCTGAAAGCTCTTTCCTTCGTAATTACATAGTCATATCAAAACCTATTAAAGAGTGTGATGAGTATTCATAAGGGCTCAAACAACGCTCAATCTTAGAACCAGTCTCCGAGTGTCCTCTGTCCTCGAGGGCTGAGAGGTTATGTCGCAGCGAGGGGTAAGTTGGTCATTTCTGTACTATCATTGCTAAGTATAGAGTTCTACGCCTTTTTGATACACAATCTCGCGTTCGCGGTTAGTTTGCGCGTCTGTAACATTACTAAGTTTGATCACGACCCATCTTGGAGTTATGAAAGCCTTAGTGATCGTTCTCTCTATGGGTTGTCCATTTATACAAATTCTTATTGAGCGCAAAAAAGACGCGCCTTCATGAGTGTTTCGTCAATATGGCCGCTTCGAGATCCCCAGAGAACTTGACGTAGCATGTATGAATACCGACCACATCTATGAAAGCGAGAAATGCCCTCGGCGAAAACTGCGCCCTCCATCTCCTTAGCTACTGAGCAGTCACCATCAACCTGCTCCAGAGCTACGGCTGAATCCAATCCATTTTTCCCTTTCGCGACGCTGGCCTTCGTGAACATTTTTTTGGCGATTGTTTAGATGGAGTTCTTGTCGCACAATTAGATCGCAAGAATTCTGACGTCTAAGGATAAAGAATATGGTTCTAAATATCGACCGCTCCTAGAAGCCCAGCAACAGTGTGGTCCTCAGAAGTACTAACCATCCAGGAGCTGGAAGCTTTTGCGGAGGGTTATGCTTGAACTATAGTCCGGTCGTTGAGATTTTCTAAAACTTGTTCGTTTTGCACCTCAACCTCTCCGACTTGCTGGAAAACCCAGGCTCGCCAGGTACCATCGGTCTGCGATTTCAAGCTTCTAAAGCGGGTTTTAATACCTTTGGTAGTTCATCGGAAATGTCTACCCTCTCACCGCGATGGGGACGACGTTTGTGGTCCTATCTGCGTGGTTGGATAGGGGGACTGGTCTTATAGAGGACGGCATAACTCGATGCCATGCTTGATTGCTGAATCGCATAAGAGGGAAAGCTGTCCGCTATATTAGTCACCAGAGTTAGTAATTCTCGTGAACCATTCTGCGAGGATGTGCGCATAATTTCCTCACTTTTTAAATCGATAACAGGCAATTTCACCTTCTTTTTTCACTTTCCCATGAGATATGATTGTTATACGTCTAAAAAACATGTTCCAGTACCTTTACAACATGAAAAAGACGCCAATTGGGTGAGATGAAACGTCTTGAGGAAAGTGTGTGACACACCATGTGTGTCACACGGTCCGGGACGCGTTGTTGTTGTTGTTTAGATATATTAAGTTGAGAACAATAAAAGGCCCTAACATTCTTCTACTCAGGCGGTGGTGGTCTGTGCTTCTGAGAAGATCAGTCCGGTTGATATCTAGGGCTATCATCAAAAGGTTGTCTATCAGAGAGGCTAGCTTGTGAGCAAGCTGATGTTGGCGCCGAAACTGAATTGTTAGGGATAGGGAATACCTAAGATCCGAGAATTCAGTTTAAGATTCCATGCTTGGTTCTCTATAGGTGTGACGTTTTCCCTAGCGTCATCCGCCACTGAATTTAATTTTATCGAGTTAATGGTGAGTTACCCAAGGCAGAGGACCCCTACAAGTGGTAACATTACATTTTGATCTTTCTTTCGGTCGTCTTTTCCAGTTTTACCCCCCATCTCCCAGCAAAGTTTTCCTAACTGGAGAAACCTATTCTAGCAGCGGCTGTTCTCAGCTAAGATCATCGTTAGTGTAGGTTGAGTGTTCTGGAAGCGCACCCGCATGAATAAATAAATAGACTAAAAAAAGGTTCCGTCTACCAATCTCTTTGGCACAAAGGAAAGCATGAGGAACTTTCAATAAAGACTTTGTCTTTCCCGTTTTTTATTACATTATATACTTTTGGTGCAGTAATGCGGTAAAGTGCTGGGCTTTTTCTAACACTAATCGATCTCATTTATTATGTGCTTCACTTCCCATTCCCACTGAATGGGTGCATTCATTTATTGGTCTTTCTACTTACTCATT